CCCCAAAACCCCAAAACCCCAAAACCCCAAAACCCCAAAACCCCTAAAAGGTCATCCAAATTGATGAATCCTATTATAAATTAATAGACAATATGAGTACTAAAATGGTTCCTTACATTGAAGGAATAATCAAAGAAGAGCCTGATAACGGCACTCCAAAGACTCAAGAAGATAGGAGGTCTCACGATCAGCCCTCTCCTTCAAACCACCTTGAGTTAGATGATTCAGAATGCTTTAACAAATCCAAAACCTCAAAGTATGCTAAAAGGTCTTAAAACAAGATTGCTTATCCTACACAAGGCGTTTCGATCCCCTAGCACTACTAAACCACCGATTTCAATCTTAATTATTATGTGCCTTAAGACATTTTCTGACTAATTCCTCTATAGAGACCTGAACAGTACCAAACCATCCAAAAAGAGGAATCCGTAAGGCTTTTTCACTAAAATTTAGGAGGAGGAAAATGACTCTCGACGAGGAAACCAAGAAATGTCCCAAGAAAGCCGGTCTAAATAAGAAAAAGACTAGGAAAACAAGCAATCAGAACGTACAAAAGAAATTTAAAAAGCTAATGTCAGGCAGCGGCGATCTTGAATTAGAAATGAGGTTGATGAGCTCCAAACTCCGGAGGCTGAACCGAGGATGAGCCAAAAAGGCCCCTGTAGTCGTCAAGTCTATTCTTAAGAGTGCCGACTCAACAGATCTTCGAAAATGTAAGAAGCAAGTCGCTTTTGACTTAGAAGAAGAATGCTTCTACTAATCCTGCTATATTCTAAATAATTTTTCATAAAGTCTTCATCATGAGAATTATTAGATTAATGCTAAATTATTTCTCAAATTCGAATATCCTCATGGTCATATAACAAGAGATAGAATGACACATTTTGTGCCTAAATTGGTCCAGGTCTTTCTAGAGACCTGACGGTCTTCAGAAAGTCCCAACCAATTTGGTATAAAAACTCTGTCTAATCTCCCTGTTTGAGCATAAGGCTTTAAAATCCTTGGTAAGAAACTATTCAATCCTCCTAAAGGAAATAGGGGTTTTGGGGTTTTGGGGTTTTGGGGG